ACAGGTTTGATTTTCACGAAATACTTTTTTAATGCTTATATTATTGGGCTCCCTTAAAGTGTAGTCTTTTATGTATCTTCAAGTACAAAACAAGAAACAGATAAATAAAATTAAAGTGTCTGTTTGTAATGTCAAAATAACAGCTTTTCACTAAATGCATATGAAATTATATACGGTATTTATAAGAAAAACACATTTTTTTAAATTTTTCTCTGTCTGTCTGTCTGTTTGTTCCGGCTAATTTCCGAAACAGCTTGGCCGATTTTGACGGGACTTTCACTGGCAGGTAGTTGATGTTATAAGACATAACTTATGCTTCTTTTATTTCAGTAAAAGAATTAGGGTTCCGCTCAAAAAATTCAAATGTACCTAAGAACGAACCCGAGCGAAGCGAGGGTGAGTCGCTAGTGTATCATATGAGACATCACCTAATCTTGTGAATTATAGATTGTTAGCTTATATAGCGTGTATTAATTAATTTATTTTTAATCATATAATAAATTATAATTTACGTACGACCTTACATCATGATTAATATGTGGTACAGTATTTGCACACTATAAAAAAAAAAAATTTTTTCGTTTTTTGATCTTAGGATACACAAATATTCAGTATTCTTTTATTCCCGAATCATACCTATTTTAAAACAACCAAGAGCCTTAATTCCTATTTATCAAATTAAATGTTTCAATGTACTTAACCATTAGATAAGTAAACTCTACACACAAACAGACAGACAAAAACTATAAAAAATAATTCCAATAATTTCGAACCAAAGTCGCGGGCAGAAACTTGTTCATAACAATCCATACTAAACTATTACCACGTGGTATAATGCAATTCACCCCGTATATAATTTTTAAATAATACATGTTTAAAACGTGGTACCTTACTTACTGGTCACCAGACGTGCAGTAGCCGGTGTCCGGAGCAGGTAGCCGGTTCAATAAAGAAATTTTAGTGCTTTAATATCGTCCTATTTGGATATAACAAAGTGAGTATTTGTCATTATGTATGTATATATAATTATTTTTTTATATAATAAGTGGGATTTGATTTTTTTATAAACAAATAATATTATATTTTTTGTATAAAATCTTACCAAAATTAAAAATTCATATTTTTTATTTTACGTATGTATTTATAACTCATTAGTGTTTTAGTTAACTTTAAGCTTTTTAAATAATTTTATTACAAAGAAAATGATTTGAAACTTTAAATAACGTAACTATGGCTTTAAAAATATAAAATAAAATAATTTACAATAAATACATTGTGATAATAAAAAGTACCTACGAATAAGTTTTAATCAAAAGATTAATTAATGATTAAATAGTTCGCACTAGTTTAATTAAATAAAATATATTCAAATTTTAAATTCAAATACGTGCAAATAAATACAACGGTTCGTACATATGTTACAATTTCATTTTATATATGTAGTTATTTAAAATGAATTTAAAACAAAATTCATTCAATAACAGTAAGAAATGTTCTAATAATTTTGCAGTTATTTAAGTAAATACGTTTTAGATTTTTGTGAAATCCAAATAAATATCATGTTCGATTTACTAAGTGTTTAGTAAATTGTTTTCTTTGTAATATTCGAAGCGATTTCCCCTTGTATTGTATATTGTCCCTTGTATTATATTGTTTTGTATATTGTCTATATTGGAAGTATAGTTGGAAGTCGATGATCGGTGACTGTGAACCCGCTAGCTCTAAATCATTAGAATTACCGTTTCAAGTTTATAACATTGTGACTTCCCTGATTAAATTGTGTATTGAGCACTGAATACTTTATTATTTGAGCCCTGATAACGCCCACAAGATGAGTAACCACCAAAGATGAAGTTCGTAGTATATGGATAACACGACATATATATATATATATATCAGTGCACTTAAATAATAGGGAATATGTGTGTGAATTGGGGAATATTTTTATATAATTTCTTTTTGATTAAGAAAATAATTATTAAAAAGTGCAAATATAGGTGGGAAAATCAAAATAGTTGTATCACATGCCATTGGTCAGACAGAATATGACGTCAGAGTATATCATAACAGAGCGATAAGCGATTTTGTCCCTACCAATTGAGTCGTCATTTTTCTGTATAATATATCATACTGTGACGTCATGCCAAGCGCTCGAAATGGTGGGCGCTTAAAGTATCCTTATCGGTACGAACTATGATAATTTTAATTTATTATTTTTATATTAAATATATATAGTTTTTTGGAGTTGGATATTTTTTCACAATTACATAACGATGTTAGTTATTGTATAAAAAATAAGAAAAAAAAAATCACGGATGTTCCCTATTTTTAATAAAAAAAAACAATAACTTACAATATCGATATTTCATTGAAGTTTCTATATATAAGTAAATTGTTTCCTTTATAACTTATTTAATTTATGTGACATTAGTGAAGTAAATGCTCAGTAGTCTGCATAAAAGCCATTATTGAAGAATTGAATTATATTTTATGTTTAAAGAATTAAGTTACCAACGTTTACTATCAAATTGAGTATATGACAGGTATAATTTGTTATGTTTTTAATCAAACTTGTATATGTTAGTCCGTCATGCTGAAACGGGTGGTCTTATTTGGATGAAATTAAGTTTTAGATAGGATGAACATATAGATAAATAATGAAATTGTGTAATAAAATTCGTCAAAAAGTGTAACTGCCTATATAAAATATTATGAATTTAGAAAACACCGAGGGGCGTATCCAAGCAAAGCGAGTGTAAATCGCTAGTCTTTACATAGTATAAAATGAAGTCGCTTCCGCTGTCTGTTCGCTTAGATTTTTTAAAGTATTGAACGGATTTTAATGCAGTTTTCAGCAATAGATAGAGTGATTCAAGAGGAAGGTTTATATGTATAATACATACATATTATAGTACAGAAAAGTCGAGAAATACAAAGATTTATATTTCACACTAACGTACGTTAACGTAACGTAAAATGGAACTGTAAATTCAACTCAAAAAAAAACTCATATAATATAATTTCAAATAGTATATTATTTAAAGAGCTGCTTGTTCTAATTTATATTTATTACGAGTATATTTTAAATATAATGTTTTATCTCAGTCTTAGGCATAATATGGACAGTGTTGTGAACTGAGTTGGAGAGTGCCGTCTATATATGTAGGTAATTCTTTAGTCTGAGCGTTTTATTTTAGTATATATACTTTTATTTATTTAATATAATAGTTTTATCAATAAAAGTATATTAGGTTTTAATTGTAAGTAGAAAGTATGACAGTTTAGAGTTATATATTTAATATTCATAGTGCACTTATAAGGGTTACGTTAGGTTAACGAAACAATGTCTCCCATAGTGTGCGTTTACCTTGTCGTGGTTAGGCTTATTAGTGTCCGGCAATCCAGCCAGGCGCGAAGCCAAGAAACGTACAGGGCGGGGGCCCACCTCGGTGCGCGGTGTGCCATACGGGTTGCTCCTGGTATTTATCTGATAACAGAGTGGATTGGAGCAGCCCCAAGGTCGGTGTGGTCTGCTTCAGCAGACCTGCCGTTGGGGCGTCGTGGTTTGGTAAATGATCTTGCGGCGACCTATTAAGACGGGGGTGGATCCGTTGGATTTTAGTGGGTAGTACAGGATTTGCCGGTGAGTCCCACATAACCACCTGTCTGTATGCAGGTGGTATGCCTAAATGTATTTCCCAACGTTAAACGAAACAATGTTGTAGTCAATTTTGTTTATTTATTCATGTAGAAAAGTTCTATGAGAAATATTTACGTCAACATGTCTCGACTTCGAATAAAGTAGGTTTAATATATTTTCTGCATTGAAACTTGTAAATAAACATTCTTTATGTAAACAAAATTAAAATAAATGTTTTAAAAGCAGAAATAATTTCTGCTTAGAAAATAAGCTTTATAATTTAAAACGACATAATATCGATTATATGGACCATTCTAATAAATGAGTATTTGTAATTTTACTTTTTATGTTCTAAAATTTTATGTATTTCTTCAATAAGATATAGCCTAGTAATAAAATTGCCGTTTCGTTAATAAAATCCTTTACAAACTTGCAATTAAATATAACATTTAAAGGATCAAACGATCAAAATTCAATTTTTTTTTTCAATACGTATGAGTACTTCCTGTCGTATTACAATGGAATATTATTTGATCATATTCAAAGATTTGCATATAGACATTGATGCATATGCTAATAATTAAAGGTCAAAATAACAAATACTTGATTACGTTTTTACTGTATAATCATGTGTAAGAACCATTTTATTCAAACTAGTAAACTAGCAATCAATAAACAGTTGATATTGAGTAGATTTGATTTGAAATAGTGTAAGCTAGCTGATTTTAGCCAAATTCCAATTTAATTTATGATTTAAGAAAGAGTTCGTACAAAAATCTATAGAAAAGAGCTATTTCAGTTTTTTTCCGTATTTCCCAATTTTCCCGGCAACTTTACCAACTTTTTTTTTCTGAATTGTTAGAAATATAAAAAAATGCAAGAGTTGCGCTTGTTTACATCACATCAAAACATTTTATTTATATTTATATGGACGAATAAATTTTTAACCGTCTGTTGAGTTGTAACCACTATCACGAAACTGAGTAAAGTAACTTTTAATATACAGACAGTATACACTTGTCATATTTCTAAGATGATGTTCTTTTTTCTTCTTCTTCTCCTTCTTCTTCTTTCACACAGTCCATCTATATCTTTCTTGGTCTCTCTCTACTTCTATATCCATGATGATGTTCTTTTATGTACTAAAATAATAAAATGTATAGATATGTGTATTTGGTTATGCAAATATGCTTTTTAGAGCGCTGTCATTCACTCGTCTGGTATACATTTCAGTGTTCCTCAGTTCATTTCATTCATTATATTTTAGTAAATAGAATGAATGAAATGAACGAATAAAACTTTTATTACATAAAGATTATGAACAAAATATAAGATTTTTAAGAAATAAAGGTATTTACAGATGGCACCAACAGCCGTATCAGAAGATAGACTAACGTCGGGTCACCGGCTGTCGCATCCACCACCTGGCGATGAAGTACTCATCACCGGTATTTCTGGCTACTTCCCAGACTCGAACTCTGTCATCCACTTGCAAGAAAACCTCTTTAACAAGGTAAAAGAAAAACAGCGAAATATGTACTTTAAAAAGTCATAAAAATTGTTATTTTAAAAATAAAACTATCTTTTCGGATTTTATCGCGGATTTATTTTGATTTTTGGTTCCCGATGTTTCAGTTTACAGCAATCAATATATATTTGTTACAGACAGTAATGACCTTTGAGACGTCTAACTTTAGAAACCTAATAATAAAATCGGATAGGCATTGTCGTAAGGCATAGGTACTGCTCTTTTTGATAGTACGAAAATTAATTTACATTATTTTGAATTCAGGTGGATCTGATATCAGGGGATGATCGTCGTTGGAAGCTGGCTCATCCTGAGATTCCCCAAAGAACAGGAAAAATCAATTATGTTAACAAATTCGACGCTTCGTTCTTCGGCGTGCATTTCAAACAGGCACACACGATGGACCCAATGTGCAGAATTCTCTTAGAAAAAGCTTATGAAGCTGTAATTGATGCTGGTGAGATTATATTTTTTTATACTAATATATATGGCTTAGTTTAGGGATTTTTAAAGTAATTATGTAAGTCACATATGTACATGAAATGTTTAATTTTATTTATACTTCGCCCGGCGTTTTTTGTAAAATTATGTTTTTTTTGTATAAAAGTTATTTTTTTTTAGAAAAGACACCTACATAGATAAACTTAAAAAAACATATCTAAATACAAAATTTGATTCAAATTTCTAGAGCCATTTACGAGATAGGTACACGAAATAAAATATACAAGAATTGCTCATTTAATATTATATTGTATTACTATAAGATAAACATTTTGGTTCCTACAAAAAATCTATCTAAGATTATTGGGATCTGCCTTTAATTTTTTTCGTATCGCAAAATTTTACCACAGAGAAATACACGCAAAATGTGAATATTATAATATAAGACGAGTGTTTTTTTACAATTATTCCCTCCCCAACCGCAGACACGCCGGCGTGTCAGTTAACAATAGATTTCTTAGAATTTTAAATAATTTCTTAGAAATTTACCTGGAGGCGTTAAAAAATACATACCAAATCTTTGATCCGCATCAGTTTTTATATTTGTAAGGATTTTAATTATACCACAGCTATGTGAAAAAGTCATTAAAATCATTTTTAATGTAATATTGTCATGATTTCATTTTATAAATTGTTAGCTTATTTTGGTCACTTTTTCACTTTTTCGTACTTCTTCTCAGTTTTCACTTAGCTTCGAAATTCAAGGAAGGTCTTTTTATATATAAGCAAAGAACATTCTAGTATTCGAAAATTCGAAACTTTTTAGTAATTTCGAATGTTTTGTTCCTCTCTTACACAAGGCAATTTACGATTAACTGTCCTTGTCTGTTAATTGTCATGTGTCGATAACTGTCTTTAGGATATATAAAGCTTGCTGCAGACGTGCTTTATTAATTACTAGCGGCTCACCCTCGCTTCGCTCGGGTTCGCCTCTGGAAAAAAACAAATCTATCCTACGGGAACAATATATCCGGAATAAAAAGTAGCCTTATGTTATTTCATCCAGATCGGTTCAGCCGTTTTGGCGTGAAAAAGTAACAAACATCCATACATACTCACAAACTTTTATATAGATTATATATAATATTTATACAAATTGTACCCTACGACACTATTGCACTATACAACAATATAAATCTAAAACAACTTTTGTAGATATTTGATCAGGACTCCTTAAACATTATAATCATCGATTTCGTTAGAATTTTTCCTATACACGAGTTTAGTGGGCGATATAAAATAAGCAAACTTTGTAAATGTTTAAAATTTATGCCTCTAGATTTAGTTTTAAATATACAATACAAAACCAGTAGGTAAATATCATAATAAATTATTAATAAGCGAAAATGGCATTTGACACCAAATATTTTAAATTACAATTTCGGTAGCAATATGTTTCAAATATAATTCTCAACAGTATAACGGAACAATAAGTAAGAAGTAAGGCAAATAAGTCACCTAGAACCTCGAAATGTTTTATGTACCCGCCCTGTAAATACTCGAATTGCTTTGCTCCAAAATTCCTTATGTTACACCCATATTTTAAATATCAAAATATTATTAAATGATTTTAAAATGACCTAACAAATAATATTTTATTAGGTTTATGTGAATATTGAGATTTTGATTCCCGAAGTTTTGTATTGACTATCAATGTGGTCGGGAGTGTCACAATTATCGTAGTTAACAGATAACTAGCGCTGGATTTACACTTGGGACACTCGGGGCTAGTGTCTAGGGCGGAAAATTTTCAGGGGCGGCAAAATTCGGAGGATGAGAAAAAACCTCTTCCCGTTATCCAAAATGCTTTGTTTATTTTTCAAAAAAATAATAATGAAAAAAAAACGACTATGTATTACATTTTTCGAAAAATTGAAATCATTTATAAAATTTATTTTTTGCATTTTTCAAACAATTAATAGTTAATAAAAAATAAACTTTATTAATACTTTACCCATTTTATACAAAATTTCGATAATTGGGTGGCATTTTTTATTATACCCAGGGGCGGCGCTAAGGTTAAATCTGGCACTGCAGATACCCACAAAATTATACAACAAAAATGTAACATAAAACTTATTTAAAATTTAAAAGCGTAAGCATAAGCGAAAATAGCAGGTCACATTTCAATTCAATTTTTATGTTCAATGGCTTTTAGGAGTACTACCAGTATAACTTGACATATCTGAATAAAACTATGCCACTTTCCGGCTTACTTTTCAATATTCGTTAACAAACCTTCACTTTATAATACCTATTGTAAAGTAAGAGATTACTAATAATACTTTCTTAGATTTACGCGAATATTTGACATTTTAAATAAAACTATCTTTTCGGATTTTTTCGTGAATTTATGTACTTTGGTGCCATTTTTCAATTTTTTGAATTCATTTTGTTATTTGTCGGTAGGCTGTCTGTAGCAACTATATAATATATTTGAGACATCTAACACCTCAGTCTCTCCCGTGACCATGATTCCTGTAAAGCATTCGAAACGTCGGGAACCAAAATCAAAATAAATTCGCGAAAAAATCCGAAAAGCTAGTTAATTTAAGATTTCTAATAAATTAAAAAAAAAAAAGGATTTTCCTTTCATATATTTACTTTTCATTTTATCACCCAAATAATAAACATATATTTACACGGTGTAAAAGAGGCCAAAAGTACCTAAGAATACTGCTTCCAACCCCCAGTAATGAGATCAATTTATTTGATCCGAAAATTCGGCGGTCTTAGATTAAATTCGTCGTGGTCATTGGAGACGTTTACTCCGGTTACCTATTTTGTTTTCCCTTTTAGCTAATTGTAGAAGTTAACTGCCTCCTCGGTGGTGTAGTGACTAGCATGTACGGCTGCACACTCGGAGGTCCTGGGTTCGAGTCCCGTGTCGGGCCAAGTTTAGTTATTGAGTTTTTCTGTATAGTAACAAGTCTTAGTAACAGCCCGGAGTTGGGAAGTTGGCGGTGCTTCACCCCCGTGCCTCGGAGAGCACGTAAAGCCGTCGGTCCTGCGCCTTAACTCTCACTGGTCGTGTCGAGTAGTCGTCCCACCGGAGTATGAGAGTGACAGGAATAGAGAGTGCACGTTGTGTCTGCGCGTACACTTGAGCACTATAATATCTCCTGCGCAGTTGGCTAGTCTCAATGAGATTGGCCGCCCTGACCGGAATCAGCTAGGAGAACATCAATTGGAGAAGGCGTGACAAAACTTTGCTATAATATATATATATATTGTTTACTCGTAGTGAAATGCACTTATCATAATAAATACTACGGAAGTTCTCAGGAGGGACGTGTTTTCTGACTTAATTCAAAAATATACAATACCGATAGCTTATTTTTTTGTGTCGTTTAATAATTATACTCGTAAAAGCTCAGTTAAAGTGAGTTTATTGTTGTTTTTTTTTAAATTTTGTAGCGCTCTAGAGCTGCCGTCATTCTGAACTCGCAGATACATCCTTCAGTATTATTTAAAAGTAGAAGCAGATATGTTTTTTCTGTACTTCGATATGTAATACGATAGAAAAATAAATATTAATTATTTTACTTTAAAGTCTAAAGTGAATAAATCAAATTTCTTTAAATGTACTAAGGCCACTTTTTATGAATTTTCTTTATCTCTTTATTATGACGTTTTTGCTATAAATACAAAGATCAGTAATTTATTGCACCACCTTTTAATTTACTTGTGTAATAGTAATACGTATACTTCATATGTAAGACTTTTTTTAATGTTGAAAGACTTTAAAATATTCAAGAGTTAAAATACTGTTATTTAAATTACTTAACTTCCTGTTAAAATAGAATTAGTAAATTAAATTAGTTTTAGTTTGCATTAGAGTTACAATAAACTGCCTCGGTAGTGTAGTGGCTAGAATGTACGATGGGAAATCCTGGGTTCGAGTCCCGGGTCAAGCCAAGTTTAGTTATTGAGCCGTTGGCAATGTTTCACCCCCGTGCTTCGGAGAGCACATAAAGCCGTCGGTCCTGCGCCTTAACTCTCACTGGTCGTGTCGAGTAGTCGTCCCACCGGAGTATGAGAGTGACGGGAATAGAGAGTGCAGTTGTGTCTGCGCGTACACTTGTGCGCTATAATATCTCCTGCGCAGTTTGGTCTCAATGAGATTGGCCGCCGTGGCCGGAATCAGTCGGGAAGGCATTATTGTTATAAACATAAAACATGGTTATGGAGTAGTTACATCGAAGAACATAAATACGCATTTTATCCTTATTTATACATTGTACATTATATCATTAAACATTTGGCTAGATAACAAATTAATTTGAAACTTAATGTTCGTTTGAACAATTTACTTTAGAACAAACTTTGCTTAATTTTGAGTTCCTTTTGAGCAAAACGCGTCTTGACAATCTTTATTGAACAAGTACTCTTATCTTGAAATCCATTAAAACTTTTGTTCAGTCAGTAATTATTATAACTCAATATTGTCTTTGACCGTCTCAAGCGATTCTAAACTGGTTCATTTTGTTCACTTATTTAGTTGTACGTGTTGCAAATTTACGTAGACTTTTAACTGACATATTTTTTTATTGACTTTATTTGATTTTAAGTCTTAAACACTTTTCTCAGAAATGCGATATTTTCCCGCGATAAAAAGTATCCCATATGTTGACCCGGATAACAAGCTATCACCATACCAAATTTCATCAAAATCCCTCCAGTGGTTTTTCTGTGATGCGATAACAGACAGACAGACAAAAATTCTAAAAACTATAGATTCGGCCTCTGTATTGATAATAATGTTTATTTTAAATAAGATTTTCCAAAAAGTATCTAATGTCCAGATTCGGCTCAGTTACAATTTTATTATACCTATAGATTTATAGCTCTAGAAATAAATAAAACGTTGTTTTATTATTTTTCCTAATTTTAAGGCTAAATTTTGGGTTTATTATACTTTCAATTCGCTTGCAATTTAAAACGGTTAGGCACTAA